AAAAAGAAAAATGCTAGGACTTCAAAGTGTAGCTTGAACAATACTGAACTGGTTTAAAAAATAAAGCATTGAAGCATATTTTGGTCTTCTGGAAGCCTAGTGTTATGTTGGCGTTAGTAAATGAGCCAGACACAGAAATCATGTAGTGAGCATGTTAGGCTCAAATACAATACGTTTTTATGACCTCCAAGACGAGGTAACCATCATCCAAGGAGAGCTTTTCATTTTGTAGAAAGCTTATACAATTGCTTCAACAATTTACCTTTTATCAGCTCCAATACAGGCCAACTGAGTAACAATTTCCTTAGCTAAAGGCCATCAATCTGACATCTCATAATTTTTTTCAAAGTTTTTATAATCTTGCTCTTGCAGCTTTTGCTTTTGACATATAGTGAAAAGTTTAAAAGTGACAGGGTAACCACATTGTCTAATCAGATTTAAAAAAATTTTTCCCATTACCCCACATGAAAAAGGATTAAGGTCTACATTTTCCTGCCCAGGTCCAACCCATGTACGGTCAGCCCATACTTATCTCATGTGGGTTCAATGTGGTCAGCCCACATGGGCTTCCCATGTTGGGCCCATGATACTGAAACTACATGGGCCCCACATAGTGTTGCCCACTTCTGCCCCATCCCCAGTTAGCCCACATAAAAAAGGAATGGGGCCTACATACGCATGCCCAGGTCCAACCCATGTACGGTCAGCCCATACTTATCTCATGTGGGTTCAATGTGGTCAGCCCACATGGGCTTCCCATGTTGGGCCCGTGATACTGAAACTACATGGGCCCCACATAGTGTTGCCCACTTCTGCCCCATTCACAGTTAGCCCACATTAATGCTGAATGGGGCCCATATGTTTAGCCCTAATGGGCCAGCCCAAGTGGGCCCCATTTTAGGTTACCATATCGGTCCCATACAGTTAGCCCAGATAAAACCCATGCCCACTCATAACCCATGTAGCCCACATCAAACCCAAGTGGGGCCCAACTATGCATGCTGGCTGGGGGGCTGCATCGCATCGGGATGAACAGAATGGACTTTCTTTAAAAAAAAAAAAAAA